CTAGCATTAGAGGTGTTTCATTAAAAAGCAGTATAACTTCAATTTGTTTTTATGCTCACCTTGACGAAAATAAAAATGAATCACTGAATAAATTCAAGTGTATTTTATGTATTTTTGAAATGGTCCAGACCAATCATAGTCTTATGTTGGGCATCATTTACTCAATTATCCCAGAGCATCAACTGAAGTTATAATTACCTGAAAAGGTAATATTTAAGGTAGAAATTTGGCAAGAACATTAGTATAAGCACAAAGTTGAAAATGTTAATTAATAATTATTAGGGCACAGTTAATGTTTAATGATCAGGTTTTCCTTTCAGATCCCTTTTCTTCAAACCATCTCTTTTTGGAGAGGAGGAAAGGAGGGTTCCTCAGAGACACATCATTGGCCCTCTTCTCAGTCTGAAACATGTTTTATGGACCTCATTATCCATATCTGTCTGTAGCTTCAACTACCACCAATATGCTGATGATTCCTTTATCCAGATGTGAGTTAACAGGTTTGCATTTCCAAATGGGTCTAGGACCACTCTGATAAGCTCCTCAAAACTTGATGTTTCTCTATTGCTACATGTCCTCTAGAAGTTCATATTTCTTCTATTCTCAGTCAAGTTACCCTATCCTGGGAATCATATTCTACCCTTGACCCTCTTCTTCAGCTCCTCGTATATGTTCTATTAATTCCTTTGTCCGCCTCTTAAGCTTTCTTCCCCCACTCCCACCCCTTGTCCCCGTCTTAAATTCAAGCCCTCATTGTTTCTCTCCCAGATTTCCTTAGTAATCTCATTGGTATCTTGCATCTGGTTTCACTGCCCTTACATTGCTCCAGATTGACTCTTCAGAGTTATGTCACCTTATGTTGTACCTTACTTAAACCTTTAGGTGTATATCCATTTTCTTCAGGACAGTTTAAATTCCAAAGCATGGCGTACAGGGCCATGGACACCTGCCCGCTGTCCTTCTGCTCAAGGCTGAATTTGACTCTGTTCTCTAGCCTCATCTTCCCCATCTTCATATGTAGCCTTTATTTCAGGCATGCCAAGTTTACTTGCAGTTCTCCAAATGTGGCAAACAATTTCATACCTTTGCAAAAGTGGTTCCTCTGGTCTATAGTGCCCTCACCCAAACAGCTATGAATCATTCTTCAAAACATATGTCAAGCATCCTGGAAGCCTTCTCTTACTCTATCTTGAATAAGCTACTTTTTCTCTGTATAACCATTATCTCCCAGGTTATTAGACCCATCATCAGATTGCAATACCAATATTTATTTTGCTTTTTTTTTTAATAAGTGTTTTTCTCATGTCATTCTTTAAACTGTAATCTTCTAAAGGTCAGAGACTGTATCTTGTTCTTCTAAATACACCCTGCATAATTTTAACAATGTTAGTTTCTTAACCATTGTATGTTTAACTAACGAAATCCTTAAACATTCTCTTTGTTGTTTTGGATATTTCTTTAATTTATGCCCCTTAACCATTTTCATCCTTATAGAGAAAACACTGTATGTATTATTCTACAAATTATTAGATGTTTTCCAGTGGGATTTCCAAGGCTTGGAGAATCTTTGATAACCATTTTTTAATAGGAAGAGAATAATAAGCTATCACATCAAGCAATTTTAACTAATTAATAAAGGAAGCTGAAAAGATACCTTGGCAAGAAAAGGAAGGGCAATAAAGCTGCTGTATATAAATTATACTTTTATGTGCCTAGGAATTAAATTCTTATTTTAGGTATCAGTTTAATAAACATCATACATTTAATATACTGATTTATAATCAAACAAATTGTAATAGTAAAGCTACTATTTGGAACTAGAGAGGATTCAGTGTGTTGCGTCCTTGTTCTATTAGATGTTCCTTCTGTAGGAAAGAGGATTCCCTAAGTCTCAGGTTCCTTATCTGTACAATGGAACTAAAAATAAATGGGATAATGTATGTAAAGGGCTTAGTGCAGTACCGGGTACAAAGCATGTAAATGGTAATCATCGTCATTATCATCATCATCACTACCTTTCTCAAAAGTTTACTTTGGTGACATTATTCGACAAGCACATTTACAAAACTTTGCAAAATGTAGAGTGCTATGTATATAGCATTAGATACCATAACTTAAATGAACAAGCTTGTTATTTATGGTTTACCTTGCCAAAAGTGGAAAAATATTGCCTTTAAATACAAAAAATATTGCCTTTAAATACAAAAATATTGCCTTTAAAAACTGAAAAATATTGCCTTTTACATCAGTTTTTGAGATTTGTGTTCCTTGGCAGTTGGAGATCAGCCAGCAGTCATGCCCTCAGTGAACACCTTTCATCACCGTGGGCACCTTTAAGGATTGATAAATAGGCAAGTTTCCCCAGGAGTAAATGCTTCTTTGTCTTTCTACATCTTGGGAGACTATGAGTAAATGCAGAAGGAAAGCCTCCCTCATGTGTACCTAACTGCGGAAGTGGCCTTGAAAAAGCTACAGCTGCTATTTGGCCACGGGGTAGACGAGCTCAGAGCCGGTAGTTTTACCTGCCGGGTGATATTTGCACTGAGCTTCCATCGCCTCCCTGCCAGTTTGGCCACTGCGCACTGCACCTTATGTTGAATGCATTATTTTCCCTCTTTCCTCCTTTGTCCGGATTAAGAATACCGGAAAAAACACAGAAAGAAACTCCTAGGTGGTTCTGGCTTTGGGACTGAGAAATCTGCGCAGATAAGACAGCCTTCGGATGCAGCTACGAGACGCCCACTTGAGGCCGGAACCGATAGTGACCAAGTGTGTGTCCCAGGGCGCTGCGGGCTCGTCCAAACGCTAACAGTGCTGGGACACCGGGCGTGTGCTCAAAAATTTGCTGAATAAATGTCTACACTGCACAACCTGTCTTGAGTCAACCTCATCCCAACCCAGAAAATAAAGCTATGTGTGAGCTGAAACAGAGTGCCATTTCGCAGATATAAAACCGGTCTCACTCATGCATCTACAGGAATAAAGACAGTTAAAAAGAAAGCCTCATGTATTTTGTTTTTGCTTTTATTTTCAAGAATGTTCCTCTGACTTTTACAATTTGGACTTCAGCATAGCGTCAAACAGCAGCAGAGCAGAGCGAGAGACTTTTTAAAGTCTCTTCTCCACGTTATTTGGCGGTAAACGGCTCTGGCCCCACTTTTCCGTGCTGGGGTTCAACCCTGGGTATCAAATTCGGGTTGGAGACGCACGTTCTGGCTGTTCCGCTCACCCGGGGAGGTGGAGGGGGCCAGCTCTTCTGCTCCGCGTCCGCCTGTCCCTCAGGAAGCTTGCGGGAGAAAAGGGGATAGGTGGTGGTGGTGGTGGTGGTGGTGGTGTCACGGCAGTCCAAGCATCCCGGGTGGGCGCACACAGAGCCACTGCGCTCAGCGCTCCGCATCTTTGCAAACTACGCGCCTGACACCCGGGCACTCGGCCAGGGTCGCGGCGGCGGCGGCGCGCGCACGCGCACTCCGCGACCCCGCGCCCGCTCCTCAACCTTCCATTCCACGTGTTGCTTGTTGTAGGCGCCACAGGTTCCCCACCTGCGCCCGGCCGCTCGGGTGGCACCGCCTCGGCCGGCGGACGTTGGAGGACTACGGGGCTGGCGGGGCCAGGGCCAGCCGAGCAGTTCACCAGACGCTCGGGCTCACCCCCGACGCTAACTCCGCCTATTTAATCCCGGCGGCTCCCCGCCCCCCCCCCCCCCCCCCCCCCCCCCCCCCCCCCCCCCCCCCCCCCCCCCCCC